TTAGCTTCTCTCACAATCCTGTTCATACCTTCCTCCCAGAACCCTCTGTCCTGACCTACCAGTCCTTCCTTCTCCCAGAATCCTTGTAAAATGGATTCTCCCATAATCCCTTGCACCTCCCAGAATCCTGTTCTCCCCTTCCTCCCAGAATCCTCTGCTCTGACCCGGAAGTTCTTTCTCCCAGAATCCTCTGTTCTCTCAAATCTCCCACAATCCTTTGCATCTCCAAGAATCCTGCTCTTGCCTTCCTCCCAGAATCCTCTGCTCTGACCCAGAAGTCCTTCTTTGTCCCAGAATCCTGTTCTCAACCTTCCTCCCAGAATCCTCTGCTCTGACCCGGAAGGCCTTCTTTATCCCAGAATCCTGTTCTCTTGAATCTCCCACAATCCCTTGTGTCTCCCAGAATCCTGTTCTCCCCTTCCTTCCAGAATCCTCTGCTGTGACCCAGAAGTCCTTCTTTCTCCCAGAATTCTCTGTTCTCTCGAATCTCCCACAATCCCTTGCATCTCCCCAAATCCTGTTCAAATCCTATTCTCACCTTCCTCCCAGAATCCTCTGCTCAGAGCCGCAAGTCCTTCTTTCTCCCAGAATCCTCTGTTCTCTCGAATCTCCCACAATCCCTTGCGTCTCCCAGAATCCTGTTCAAATCCTGTAATCGCCTTCCTCCCAGAATCCTCTGCTCAGAGCCGCGAGTCCTTCTTTCTCCCAGAATCCTCTGTTCTCTCGAATCTCCCACAATCCCTTGCGTCTCCCAGAATTCTGTTCAAATCCTGTAATCGCCTTCCTCCCAGAATCCTCTGCTCAGAGCCGCGAGTCCTTCTTTCTCCCAGAATCCTCTGTTCTCTCGAATCTCCCACAATCCCTTGCGTCTCCCAGAATCCTGTTCAAATCCTGTAATCGCCTTCCTCCCAGAATCCTCTGCTCAGAGCCGCAAGTCCTTCTTTCTCCCAGAATCCTGTTCTCTCAAATCTCCCACACTCCCTTGCGTCTCCGCGAGTCTTGTTTACACCTTCCTCCCCAAATTTTTTTTTAAATTTTAGTTGTAGATGGACGCAACACATTTGTTTTTGTTTGTATATGGTGCTGAGGCTCAAACCCAGTGCCTCACACATGCTAGGCGAATGCTCTACCACCACTGAGCTATAACCTTAGTGCCCCCTCCTAGAATTTTCTGCTCAGATGGGCAAGTCCTTCTTTCTCCCAGAATCTTCTGTACAAAAGAGTCTCCCAGAACCCCTTGCATGTCCCAGAATCTTGTTCTCACCCTCCTCCCAGAATCCTCTGCTGTGACCAGCAGGTCCTCCTTTCTCCCAGAATCTTTTTTTTTTTTTGGAATTAGGAAGTCTTATTTTTTGTAGTTGTACACAATCACTGTATTTTGTTTTTATGTGGTGCTGAGGATGGAACCCAGGACCTTGCACGTGTAAGGCGAGTGCTCTACCACTGAGCCACATCCCCAGCCCCCTCTGTTCTCTTGAATCTCCCACAATCCCTTATGTCTTCCAGAATCTAGTTCTCACCTTCCTCCCAGAATCCTCTGCTCTGACTGGCAAGTCATCCTTTCCCCCAGAATTCTGTTCTCTTGAATCTCCCATAATCCCTTGCATCTCCCCAAATCCTTCGCCATAATGCACCAGTCCTTTCTCCCAGACTACTCTGGTTGCTTGATTCTCCCATAATCCCACACTTCTCCCAGAATTGTCTGCTCACTTACTTCTCCTACAACTCTTTGCTTCTCCTACAATCTTATTCTCACTTTTCTCCCTGAATCCTCTGACCTGACCTGCAAGTCCTTCTTTCTCCCAGAACCCTGTTTCTCCCACAAGCCCTTGCTTGTTCCAGAAGCCTGTTTCCTTCATTCTCCCACAATCCTGTTTGTGCTTCCTAACCCTAACCCTAACCCTTTCTAATACAAGGTGGGCAAAGCTTCCAACAGGAGATGTTGGAGAACTCAGAGGTTGCCTTCAAGGCCCTTTATTTCACTGCTTCTGAAAAAACATCATGTCAGCATGGACTTTTCCCTTTTTCCTCTGCTACCTGCAAGATTTCTTCTCTCAAGCCACTGTAGGGCAATCATCTCCCTCTTGTAGGCATCTTGTGAAGAACCTTGCAGTTTTCCAGCTGCCTGTCCTCCAAGTAGTGCCTTAGAGAGCTCAAGAACTGGACATTGTGCTACTTCCCAATGCAACCAGGGAAGCTTTCCTGGCATAGCAACCTGCTTTCCCTTCACTTCCCTCTGAAAGTAACATGTGGTGGTCCTTGGCTTGTGATCGCTAGGAGAGCATCCATGAGAACCCACCCCAGAGCCTCGGGCTCTCTTGGGTAGGTCAGGTGTAGTCCGACACCTTGAAGCATCTGGGCCCAGGTCTTGTATGCTTTTCCAAGGCTCATCCAGTGTCCAGAGCTTCAGTGCTTCTAAGGAATTCAAGATATGAAGGCATAGGAAACATCCAGTATACATCCAAATCTAAGTCTATGTGGGGCTGGGAGGTTCCCTAGAAACTTTCTGGACTTGTAAAGCTCATTAAAGGGGCCATTTGCAGGGTGTTGGTCCTTTGGCATCTTGAGGCCATTATCACTTGTATTTCCTACAGGGACTTGAGATGTTCACAGACTTTGCACCAATACATAATTCATCAACACCCTCCAACATCCTTGTTTAACTAACTTCTCAGGGTATTCTCTGAGAAGATCTTTTAAAACTAGAAGAGAATACCCATGGAAATCCAGATCTGCTTCAAAACCCACAGCTGCAAGCACCCACGTAACTCAGACAGGGCTGGGCTTGGGTGGCTCTCTGCCAGCAATATTTGCTTCAAGAAAGTTGTCATGAATAGATATTCTTCCTCCATGAAGCCCCAGGGGAGGAATGAAAGACGAGGAAGACCTCAAAGCCATATAACCCACAGCATGTCCCGGGTGTGAGGTCACCAGGGCTTATCCTTAGCTAGACCTTGGTCACAAGTCACCATGTGACACGCAGCTGAGTCTTCCTGAAAAGGACCACAGCAATCCCACACAGCTTCTCAGAAGCCTGGGCTGTCCTCATAAAAAAAAGTGGGCAACCCTGGTAAGAATCAACTCTTTGTCAAGTGCCACCAGTCCCTCCACCGGGAATACTCTTCTGGTACCACATGTGTCTTTCAGAAGTCTCCCAGCTGGTTCTTGGTAACTCAGTCCCACAGAAGGTCTACTCTCATCTCTGTGGGCAAACCAAACTCTCCTTAGGATTTGCCTGTAGATGTAGCCCTGCAATGTCACGACTTTCACCCACCATTTCAATTCCTTTGCCTTTGAGATCATGCTGGGTCCGACTTTCTCTCACCTACATTCTGCTAAACTCATCTTCATCAAACCCTGGGAGGAAGATCTGAGTGCTGTTTCCTTCACAGTCCACAGTCGGTTTACATGTGTTTATATTGGAGGAATGCTGAAAATCACACTTGCCTTTTTATTTCTTAATATTTTTTAGTTGTCAACATACCTTTATTTATATGCGGTGCTGAGAATCAAACCCAGTGCCTCACACCTGCTAGGCAAGCGCTCTTCCACTGAGCCACAACCCCTAGCCCACACTTGCCTTCCTTTAAAACTGCTTGATCCTGTTTTTCTTCGGAGTAGTCTGAACTAATCCTCCCACACATGAATGCTGTATCCAAGTGATGCTGAGGCACTGACCCGACTGTATTTATCCATTCAACATGTTTATTGAGCACCTTCTGTGTGCCAGGTGTTAAGACATTAGGGACATTGTGATAACTCAAATTTCCTGTCCAGAGACACTCCATTCTAGGGGTAAAGACAGAGTGAGAAAAACGCAAATAAATCTGTAATATTAATTCTACGAAGGGAGACCTAGCAGGAAGAGGGGTGCAAGAGTGGTCTCAAGACAGGCTGACCCTGAAGTGTGTCTGGGGAAAAGGTAACATTTGAGCTGAGATTTGAATTTAGTGTAAACTAGAGATTTGCAGGTAGAGAGAGAGAGAGAGAGAGAGAGAGAGAGAGAGAGAGAGGGGAGAGAGAGAGAGAGAGGAGAGAGGGGGAGAGAGAGAGAGAGAGAGGAGAGAGGGGGAGGGGGGGTAGAGAGAGAGAGAGAGAGAGAGATGCAAAGACACTGGGGCAGGATCAAGCTGGGATGGGGGGAGGAGGGAGAGAGGATGAATGAATGAATGTAGTGTGCCTGCATTCATTTGTGGGTGAGGAGAGACCCCCGAGAGGAGGCTGCAGAGATCAGCAAGGCCCATTGATGGGGGGCCTGAAGGCTTTCATTAAGGGCACTCACTTGCCACATAGAGTTGAGGAGGTCACATATTGCATCTTCCACATCAGTATGGAAGCAGACACTCCTGGGGTAGGTATGGGATGAAAGAATAATTGTGCCGTTTGTGGCAAAGGGTTGCCCCACCACAAATGTGGAAGGTGTGCTAGTGGAAGGATGAAACAGACCTTTAAATTGTTGGGGAGGGGAGGGGCAAAGATTCCATGTGGATTCTCCTCCCTCAGCACCTCCCTCCACCAATGGGAAGCTTCCTTTCTTTTGATGGTGGGAACAGAAACAGCCATCAGGACCCAGTATGCAACAGTCCATGCCTGGTCAAACTTTGTTTGCCTAGGGCCTTGCTTTGGCTGAGGCTGGCTTTGAACTTGCGATCCTCCTGCCTCAGCCTCCCAAGCTGCTGGGATTACAGGCGTGCACAACTACACCTGCGTACCAGAATTTTCTTAAGGTTGACTGTAGGCAGTTTCCTGTAGCACTCAGGTAGCAGTTAATTATCAACTGCACTAGATGATTCTGCAGGATTTGATTCATCATTGGGAATGATTTGATAAAATGAAGATGAACTGTACCGTAGTTTTTTTTTTCTCCTCCAGACCAAACACTAAGACATTTCATTTATGCACACTTGGTGTGTTGCCGAGTCCTCAGGGCATTTTCTGCAGCTGGAGGAAAAACCTTCAAGAATGCAGGTGCCATCAGAGTCTTCTCTTTTCCTCTCCAGGTTCTGATGCCAGCACCATTGAAATCCGTACTGCAAGTGGGTCCCGCAAGGAAAATGACGTTGACATGGCTCACCCAACTCAAGGACACCTGTGAAGGGATGTGACTTGGGTCTGGACTCTGTGGTCCTGAGGCGGTACTCATCCCGGGTTCTCTAGAAGTGCGTCCTTGCTGTCCTCTGACTGCATGCTCAAAGCACGGCATCTCTGAAGTCCCACTCTTATTACTGTGTTAGAGCTTCCTCCTGAGAATCCTCTTCATGCCAGGAGACGCCATTCCACATGGACGGGCTTGGGAATGGAAGGATCCCTTCTAGACCACTCTGCCTAGTTGGCATTAGCAGTTCTGAGGCTGGCTGTAATGTGAAGTGCAAGATCCGTGTCTTTGGGGAAGTAGTTACATAAAATAAAGTAATTGTGACTGAGCCCCCAGTCCGACTTGGATTGTATCCAAACAATATACCCAACAGATGCTCTTCCTGCCAGTATGAGGGATGCCAAAGAGCAGTAGAGGAGCATAGAGCTGCACGGCATAGCTTTGATCCCAAAATTCCCATGTCATACTGAAAACTGAGATTAAGGAATCCATGGAACCTGACCTGTACTTACAGCACTGCCTACATCTCCACCTTTCCATCCATCAATTACTTATCTAGAAAAGACTATTTTTCAAAGGTGCTGTAGACATGTGTCCCATGGGACCTCCCTTTGAATCTAGATTAGGACTCCTTTTCATTCTAGAAAAGCTGTCCAGATTTTGGAGTCACAAAGCTGCAGGTGGATTCGGAGTTCACTGCGACCTCAGGGATCTCAGGGCAATTTTTGCTGCATCTCCTAAGGGGAGAGGGACCATGCACACCTTGACCAAAAGTCCGGAGGGGTAGAGGTGTGAAGGAGGTTTGAATTTCCTGGGGGGCAACTGTGTGGTTGTGTCAGTCGACTGTGTTTACCTCCATGGCATTGGCCCCACAGACTGATTTTGGCTGCTTCTCTCTGTGCAGCCCCCGATCTGATGCTCCAGTCCTTAGAGCTGCCAAGTACCCTTCTCATTGGCACGTTAGGTTCTGCGGCTGGCAAGTAAGAACCCCGAGTGGCCCGCTTCCCGGTTACAAGTCCTCCTCCTAGCTGGTGCGTCATGCAGCTAGCTGACACTCCCAGCATGGCGGCTCTGACTGGGATGAGCTCGGATGAGGATAAGTGGAGACTTCCTCCCGTCCTGGCTGCTGACCAGATGGAAGAAAGAACACTAGAGATAGGACTTCAGGAAACACAGAGATAACAGTGGGCAGATCAACAACAGAGACAGCCTGGGTTTTGAGCCCTTTTCCTATGAGGCTGGAGGCATGTCCATTTGCTGTTTTGTTATTATTTAAGATGCCAGGTGCTACAGTAGGGAGGCTAGGGGAAAACGATCCAGTGGAAACAGCCATGCTGGTGAGGATAGGAGAGCAGGGAAACTTCCAGGAGGGAAGTTCTTGAGGTGGGAGGGAATTGGGATCTGGAACCAAGGGGCTGGGTGGTCTGTGAGGAGACCATGACAGAGGCAGAGCTGGGAGGGGAACTGGGGGGGGGGGAGATGAGGTGGTGCCCCTCAGATAGCTCCCACTGGATTTTAAGCGGGCCAGTTTATTAGCCCATTTATTTACTACCGTGAAAAAAAATTTGTAGTTAGGTTGGGTGCAGTGCTGCCCAGCTGTCATTCCTGAGGTAGGAGAGTCACAAATTCCAGGCCGGCCTGGTCAACCTTGCAAGACCCTGTCTTAAAATAAAGGGTAAAAGGGCTCGAGGAGCAGCCCCTGGGCTCAATCCCCAGTTAAAAATCAAACAAACAAAACCATTAGTAGTTGGCTCCTTCCCCCAATTTCGCAGAATGCATCAATATCAACGTCTACAGTTGTGTAGCTACTACAGAATCTAGATACCCTGCCATTTTCCTGGGCAGTCTCTAAGGGTTTGAGGATAACTCTCTTCCTGACCACCCACCCATTCTCCAGAGAACCAACTTCAAAGTTTTAGCACACGAGTTCTTCCATTTCCACCCTCCCTACAGTGTAGTCTGCTCTGGGCCCTGTCCTGTTGACAGTATTCTCCAGGCCGGCCGGTGGGCTCTGGGCTGGCTTACCCAAACTGTCCATGAGATGCTTCACAGACAGAGCACCCAGACCAAGGGAAAACAAAATTAGTTCATTCAAATCTGGATTCTTACATAGAAGGGCATAAGACTAGCTCCACTCCTCCTTCCCCCTTCTCCCACACTCCACCAAGTGACACCCAGCTACGGAAATCAAGATTCGGCACGCAAAGGTGCCCGGAGCGCTTTCTGTGATCACGAAGGCTGTCCGTAAATATCTTTTAACAATGGCACTGACCCGGGGGGGTCTAGCCCACATATACAGGGGATTTTAGCCCAGATCACAGGGATCCATGTGGTCTTGCTGCCAACCAGCATCCCACTTCAGTCAGTGCCCGGTCAGCTTCTCTGCGCAAGCCCAGCTCGTCTGGCCTGTGTTTCTTGGGTCCACGGCAGCTCAGGGCCAGTCCTCAGACCCAGGTCTGGCCTGTTCCAGAACACTGCTACATCCTGGCCTTCAGACACCCCCACCCCAGTTAAGGGGCAATCCTGGGAAGAGGCAGTTATTTCCATAAAAGACAGAATTCTGTATCCATTGATCAGTGTCAATGTGGGAGTTACCCAGACAGACGGAGAAACCACAGGCACCCAGATCTCTAATATCAAAATAGAGCAATTTATTCAAGACACTGAATATGATCTGTCAATTCTCTCTTGAAACAAATGAGCTATGACACACAAGGTGATTTTTTTTTTTCTTTCCCAAGAGCGTGAGGAGTGAGTGGCGGGGAGTAGAGAAAATGGGGGACAGATATTGTTTAACAGAATCTGGAAAATGCTGACGGAGAACCACGTCTGGCTGTACGTCTGACACAGACAATAAAAACTGCAGAAGCCAGAATCTAAAACTTCAGTGAGTGGTGGAAGAAACATTTCTGCATTTGACAAGAAACACAATGATGAAAGAGAGAGCAGGAACAAGAGGTTAAAAAAGGGAGAAAAATAACAAGGAAAAAAGCAGATCTTTACGTTGGACAAAGTGCACTTCACTTGGCTCCATGATCTATTTTTAGAAAGAACAAAAAGTCAAGTCCTACGGTGTGGAGTGGAGTCAGAGCGTCAAACCCTGCAACGTCCATCTGGCCCTTCCAGGCCCCCGTGGGGCAGCTCTCGCCTCCCAGGTAGATGCTGGACATGGCTCTTGGTCAATTTGAACCCCACCAAAGATTCCAAAGAGGATTACCGCATCATGTCTGCTTTCAAGGTTAGATTTGGTCACTAAGACTTAAGCATTCCTCACAATTATTAAGAGCTGTAAACAACGTAGAACAGTAATTGCATGATACACGGGCCACCCCTTGACTACAAGGATGAATCTAATGGCGCTCTGGCAGGAGGGTGAACAATGGTCTGTAGACAGGGAGGTTCCACAAATTGCTGTCGACCATGGTGTTCTGTGGGTGGGGGATGGACTTCAGGGGCCCAAGATGCATGCCCCCGTCTAGTCCCCTGGTGGCCCATGCTCACTCGAGTCCAGTGGCTAGTTGTGAAGCAGGAAGGTGGGCAGGCTGCTTCGTCCTTCTCGGGCTCCCTCCTGTGCAGGAACTTGTCACGAGCCTGCAGCCCTCAGCTCCCACCTAACAATTCTGATGAGGCTCAGATTCATCGAGGGGCTAATGAGACCCTGGCTACCGACATCCATGTGCAGATTGTCTAGTGAGTCCCTGACATAGCCCATGGCAGTAGAGGGCTTGTCTAAGGAGCCATATCCCAGCAATGGGCTAACTTTGGACAGCTGGTATTCTGTAGAGAGAAACATTTTTACTTGGGGAACAGTAAAGATGGTGCTTATCTGGATCCCCAAAATCTGCACCCCAAACCTAATGCATCTTCAGGGCAGGAGATTATCAACTTATTGGGGGACACCTGCTCTGTTCAATGGTGACCCATGCAACTTTGGCTTTCTTTGCCGAGTATTTAGGTGCCACAGCTGGAACACAACACTCAATAACACGAGCACCTCTTGGTCTTTCTGGGCTTGCAAAATTCACCTACCAAAGTGGAGGCGGTCTGAGGAGGATTAATGCACTCTGGTATCTGCAGATGGCCTCTGAGCACGCTCAATCGTGCAGGAAGCCCCTGCTCTTCATGATGGGTGACTTTGGGCTCCATGGAGAGATGCATCCGTCCGAGTTACACCCTGCTTCAGCTACAGGAACACACAGCTGAGTGAAATCAGCCCCCTAGGCTTCTCCATAGCCTCACCAACATTTCCTGCCCTTTCCTATGCCCACAGGAAAATCAGAGGGGAGAGGCCCCGTCTTTCCATCTGTTCCCGCCTTGCTAATTTAAAATCAGTGTTAAGTTGTGAGGAGGGCACTACAGTCACCTGATCCCACGACAGCAAACCTTGCTAGGAACACAAAAACTTGTTTAATTTTTTTTTAAAAAATAGTAAAGACCCATTTTAAAACAAAAGCAACAAAAAGTCCCTACCCTTTTTCTAGTCTCTTGTGAAAGAAAGGATAAAGGCGGTAGAAGTGGTTAGTAACATCCTACCTAGGTAATGATTCACCTTCGGGAATGACAGTCTTTCTTCCGTGATATTTTGCGTCTTCTCTAGACCGAGGTGCGCTCTGGGGAGCCTTCAGGTCTACTTGGCAAGTACTTTCCCAGTGTGTGCTCTTGGTGAGGTGAACACTGGAGCTATATTTCTGGGGAAAAGGCGTAGGTGACAGCAGAGGCCGGCTGTCGGTTTGGAAGCCTCCCTCACTTTTTTTGCACCAGCTGATAATGCGCAGGACCGTCCTTCTTCCACCCAAGGTCTTCCTAAATGCCTTCCACGCAGCTGACGGAAAAGGGGCGAGACACCTCGGGCTGCCAGTGACGTCTGACCTTTTTTTTTTCCTTTTTAAATATGAATCACAAAGCTCTCTGTCTGATGGCCATTTTAGGATTTTAAAATCGTTTAAACATAAAAATATTTTTTTTTTTTTCCAAAAATACTCCAGGCTCTTTCTCTTATAAGTCGTTTTTTTTTTTTCTCCTGTAAAAAGTCCCCCTCCCTGCCTTCTTACATAAAGCACTTATTTATGCGCCAAAAGTGCCCTTGAGACCCAAGACGTGGAGCAGCTATGGGTGACAGAGGGGAGAGGGGCAGTGGACGGGTGGGGAGAGAGCTGTCCATCAGGGCTTTCCTCATCACGTCACCCTGTCCCTGGCCGCGTGTGTCTGTGTGTGTGTGTGTGTGTGTGTGTGTGTGTGTGTGTGTGTGTTGGGGGGGTGGGGCATGAAAAGGGAGGGAGAGGGGACCAAAGCGAATGGCGCAGGGGCAAGGACATGACCAAGGGGGAAAGAAGCAACGCACCGCAGGCAGGTTCCACCTCGCGTGGAAGGCCCCGGAGCACGGAATTCCAGTGGACACAAAAGCCACCCAACAAACCAGGTTCTAGAAAATGGGGCTGGGAGGACAAAGCCGCGCGCTCCATCAGTCCAAACGGTCTCCGAGCAGCCTTTGTGGGAGCAACGTGGTGTCCAAACCGACTCGGGGACCCTAAGGAGGCGGTCCCCACCTTTGGGTTGATCACAGCATATTTTTTTTTTTTTTTTGGCACAGCTTCTTTCACTACCCCCTGCCCATTCAGCCCCAAGAGCCCACTCGCATCCGACCTCCTCCTTCCCCGGCTCAGGCGGCCCGGGCGGGACCCTCCCCCAGGGCTCTCGGTCTGCTTTTGCTTATTCAACTTCAGGATGAAGATGACGGGAAAGAGAGAGACTCCCGCGGCCAGGGACAAGTTGGTTTCAAGGTACACTCCAAGTGCACACGTCAAGCTCGAACACGGCTGGAGCCGGTGCGCGGGGAGAGGGCGGCGACCCCGCGCACCCACGGCTGCTCCGTCACGATCTCTGTCTCCTCTCCCAACGTTCATTGTGTTTACTTCCGCAGGTCTAACACACACACCTGGAAGGAAAGATGAAGCACCTGTTACCTTCAGAAACGGCACGAATACGCCATCAGAAGTCTACATTCTACCCCCTTGCTTCCCCCAGTTCCTTTAGTAGCCTGATTCTCCCGCCGTCTTTTGTGTCTCCCACAATCCCTCGCATTTCCACAATCGTGTTCTCACCTTCCTTCCAGAATCCCCTGCACTAACCTCCAAGCCCTTCTTGATCCCAGAATCCTGTTTTCTTGAATCTCCCACAATCCCTTGCTGCTCTCACAATGCTGTTCTCACCTCCCTCCCAGAATCCTTTGCTCTGGCCCACAAGTCCTTTTCCCCAGAATCCTCTGTTCTCTTGAATCTCCCAAAATCCTTTGCTCCTCCCAGAACTCTGTTCTTGCCTTCCTCCCAGAATCCTTTGCTCTGACCTGTGAGTCCTTTTCTCCCAGAATCCCCCATAATCCCTTGCTTTCCCTATAATTCTCTTCTCACCTTCTTCCCAGAAACCCCTGCTCTGACCAGCTAGTTCTCCTTACTCCCAGAATCCTGTTCTCCTTCCTCCCACAACCCCTTGCTTCTCCCAGAACCCTAAGGCTCTTAATTATACCACAATCCTGTTCATATTTCCCTCCCAGAATCAGCGGTGACACAAAGCTCTTCTTTCTCCCAGAATCCTCTGGTAGCTTAATTATCCCATAATCCCATGCCTCTCCCCGTATCCTCTGTTCCTTAATTCCAACAATCCCTTGCTTTTCCTAAATCCTCTTACCTTCCTCCCAGAACTCTTTGCTCTAACTAGTCCTTCCTCGCAGAATCCTGTTCTTGCTTCTCCCACCATCCTTTGCTTTTTCCTATAATCCTTTTACCTTCCTCCCAGAATCCTCTCCCTGCCCCACCAGTCCTTTATCCCACAATCTTCTGGTAGCCGATTGTCCCATAATCCCACGCTTCTCCCACAATCCTGTCCTTAACTCTTCCACAATTCCTTGCTTTTTCTACAATCTTCTCACCACCTTCCCAGAATCCTCTGCCCTGACCCACTAGTCTTTTCTTTCACAATCCTCTTCTTCCATAATTCTTTTTAACCACGATCCTCTTTGTTACTCCCAGAATCCTGTCATGACCCACAAAACCTTTCTCCTGGAATTCTCTGGTCACTTGATTCTGCTGCAATCTCGTGCCTCTCGCAGAAACCAGTTCACTTATTTCTCTCACAATCTTCTACTTCTCCCACAGCCTGTTCAGACCATCCTCCCAGAATCCTCTGACCCGACCCCCAAGTCCTCCTTCCTCCCAGCATCCTGTCCCTTAATTCTCCCACAATTTCTTGCTTTTCCTATAATTCTGTTCTCACCTTCCTCCCAGAATTCCCTGCTCTGACCGGCTAATCCTCCTTACTCCCAGAATCCTGGTTCTCCTTCCTCCCACAACTCCTTGCTTCTCCCAGAACCCTCTGGCCCTCAATTATCCCTCAATCTTCTTCACACCTTCCTCCCAGAATCAGCTGTGACACACAAGCCCTTCTTTCTCCCAGAATCCTCTGGTAGCTTGGTTCTCCCACAATTTCTTGCTTTTCCTACAATCCTGTTGTCTCTTTCCGCCCAGAATCCTCTGCCCCAAACCCGCAAGTCCTCCTTTCACCCAGAATCCTCTGTCCCAGGACCTGCAAGTCCTCCTTCCTCCCAGAATCCTGTCCCTTAATTCTCCCACAATTCCTTGCTTTTCCTATAATTCTATTCTTACCTTCCTCCCAGAATCCCCTGCTCTGACCAGTTAATCCTCCTTAATCCCAGAATCCTGTTCTCCTTGCTCCCACAACTCCTTGTTTCTCCCAGAACCCTATGGTTCTCAATTATCCCACAATCCTGTTCACATCTTCCTCTCAGAATCAGCCACGACACACAAGCCTTTTCTTTCTCCCAGAATCCTCTGGTAACTTAATTTTTCCATAATCCCACGCCTCTCCCAGTATCCTCTGCTCCTTAATTCCAACAATCCCTTGCTTTTCCTAAATTCTTACCTTCCTCCCAGAACTCTCTGCTCTGACCAACTAGTCCTCCCTCCCAGAATCCTGTTCTTGCTCCTCTCACAATCCTCTTTTCCCTATAATCCTTTTACCTTCCTCCCAGAATCCTCTCCCTGCCCCAGTCCTTTCTCCCACAATCCTCTGGTAGCTGATTGTACCATAATCCCATGCTTCCCCCACAGTCCTGTCCTTAATTCTCCCACAATTCCTTGCTTTTCCTATAATCTTCTCACCTTCTTCCCAGAATCCTCTGCCCTGACCCACTAGTCTTTTCTCTCACAATCCTCTTCTCCCATAATTCTTTGTTTCAACCACAATCCTCTTTTTTACTCCCAGAATCCTGTCATGACCTACAAAACCTTCTTTCTCCCGGAATTCTCTGGTCACTTGATTCTCCTACAATCTCGTCCCTCTCCCCCAAACCAGTTCACTTATTTTTCTCACAATCTTTTACTTCTCCCACAAGCCTGTTCAGACCTTCCTCCCAGAATCCTCTGGCCCGACCCCCAAGTCCTCCTTCCTCCCAGAATCCTCTGCCCCCACCAAGTCCTTCCTCCCAGAATCAGCCGTGACACACAAGCCCTTCATTCTCCCAGAATCCTGTGGTAGCTTGATAATCCCATAATTCCATGCTTCTCCCAGAATCCTCTGGTAGCTTGATTCTCCCACAATTCCTTGCTTTTCCTACAATCCTCTCTCTCCTTTCCGCCCAGAATTCTCTGCCCCCGGACCTGCAAGTCTTCCTTTTGTCCAGAATCCTCTACCCCATACCTGCAAGTCCTCCTTCCTCCCAGAATCCTCTGCCCTGACCCCCAAATCCTTTCTCCCGAAGCCTGTCCCTTAGTTCTCCCACAATTCCTTGCTTTTCGTATAATTCTGTTCTCACCTTCCTTCCAGAATCCCCTCCTCTGATTGGCTAATCCTCCTTCCTCCTACAACCCCCTGGCCTTCAATTATCCCACTCTCCTGTTCACATCTTCCTCCCAGAATCAGCCATGACACACAAGCCCTGCTTTCTCCCAGAATCCTCTGGTAGCTTGATTCTCCCACAATCCCTTGCTTCTCCCTGAATCTCTGGTAGCTTGATTCTCCCACAATTCCTTGCTTCTCCCTGAATCTCTGGTAGCTTGATTCTCCCACAATCCCTTGCTTCTCCCTGAATCTCTGGTAGCTTGATTCTCCCACAATTCCTTGCTTTTCCTACAATCTTGTTTTCACCTTTTGCCCAGAATCCTCTGCCCCTGACCGCAAGTCCTCCTTTCGCCCAGAATCCTCTGCCCCGGGACCCGCAAGTCCTTCTTTTGTCCAGAAACCTGTCCCTTAATTCTGCCACAATTCCTTGCTTTTCCTACAATCTTGTTTTCACCTTTCGCCCAGAATCCTCTGCCCCGGACCACAAGTCCTCCTTTCGCCCAGAATCCTGTCCCTTAATTCTCCCACAATTCCTTGCTTTTCCTATAATCCTGCTCTCACCTTCCTCCCAGAATCCGTTGCTCTGATCCATTAGTCCTTTTTCCCATGATCCTTTGTTTCACCAATTCCCTTCTTCCCTCCCTCCCAGAATCCTCTGTCAAGACCTATCTCCCAGACTTCTTTGGTCACTTGATTCTCCCACAATTCCTTACCTCGCCCAGAATTATGTTCATTTATTTCTCACAATCCTTCTCCCACAACCCATTTCTCCCCTTCCTTCCAGAATCCTGTATGTTGACCCCAAATCCTCCTTTCACCTAGAATCCTGTTCTCTATTCCTCCTGGAACCCCCTTGGTTCTCAGAGTCCTCTGGCTCTTAATTTCCCCTCAATCCTGTGCTCCCACCTGCAGGCCCTCCTTTCTCCCATTATCTCCTGTTCTCATTTCTCCCACTGACCCCTGGCTTCTCCCAGAATCCTGTTCCCTTGATTCTCACAATCCAGTTCTCATGTCTCCCGTAATCCCCTGTATCTTCCACAATCCTGTTCGCACCTTTATCCCAGAACCCCCTGCTTACACCTGCAATTCTTCTCTCTCCCCCAGAACCCAAGTCTGTGTGTGGCTCGCGGAGCGCCTGCCGTGTGCTGGAGTTCCAGGACGGGGAGCCTGGAAGTTCCCTGGGTGTCCCCCACCCCCTCTAGTCCCCAGCAACCTGAGGTGCCACTCACAGAGCCGTCGGACGCACTGGCGCCCACTTTGTCTCCTCGAGCGTTCCAGCACACCTCGAAGATGCCACCTGTGCCCCGGTAGCTGTGGACGAGACTTCCACTCTGCAAAGGAAAGCAACCGTCACTTGCCAGGCGAGGAGCCCCGCCAACTGGCAGGAGGACAGTGGTCACTCCTCCTCACCTGTCCCCACTGCCCATCACAAAAATGCCCTACTGTGGAGAGCTAAAAAGGACTTCCACTTGACACTGGTGGCTGTGGACATGTAACCCTCAGACCACCAACTCTGAAGGATGGGACTGCTCCCTGACCCCCAGAGCACTGGCCATGGCTGTCCTCAGCGAGAGACTGGGGTGCGGGGAGCCTAGGTCAGCTGGGGCTGTGGGCCGCACGCATGTGCCTCAGGGACTACCCACTGGCTCTTAGAAAAAAAAAAAGTTGAAAACTTCTTACTAAAGACCGATGTGATATTTTATACCTTTATTTTTATGTGGTGCTGAGGATCGAACCCAGCGCCTTGCACATGCTAGGCGAGTGCTCTACTGCTGAGCCCCAGCCCCTAGATTTCTCTTTTTAATGGCACTTGGGATGGAATCCAGGGCCTCCTCCCACGTGCCTGGCTAGACCTCTAACGCTGGGCTGTGACCTTGGCCCTTTCCTTGCTGACCCCCTTCTTGGGGGTCACACCAACCTCGTGGTCCGAGTTCTCCCTGTCCTCCACAGCTTTTTCCTTCCCAATTTCCCACCCCAAGTGTGTCTCTTGCATACCAGGTAAGCGCTCCTCCACTGAGCCATACCCCAGCCCCTCGATCTCTATTAAATGGCAGCAAAATGTAATGGAAACTGTACTTGGAAGAAAGCTGAATCCTTGGTTATTTCCAGTGGCTTCAATCACGCCACCTCCTCTTCCATTAGAATGGGAATTAAAGGGCTCTGGGTGAAGTTCAGGGCACAGCGCTGGCCAAGCCTGAAGCCCTGCATGGATCCCCAGCACAAGAAACATACAACCAGCAAACAAGATGAGAATCAAGAGCTCTCCCGATTCTTTTTAGTCCCCTGTGAAAGGACAGCCCAGTATTGACACTGTGCTACCACAGTGACGCTGGCCGGGTCCCAGTTGGCTGGTCTCCTTGGACTGCTGAGATGAAGGGACGCCTCCCACCACCCTCCACCAGGGGGCAGCCTTTCCAGCTTTCCCCAGAGCACTAAGGACGGCAGCTCCTTGCAGGTCTTCCAAGACGACAAGCTCAGAGCTTGGCTCCGAGTCAACCGGCCTAGAACTCTGGGGACACCTCCTGGAGGAAGGGACCTGCTCTAGGCTTCGGGGAGGGGAAGACCCCACGCCCTCGGGAGCACAAGGCAGGCAGCACTTGGCCTGGGGAGTCCAGCCTTGCTCTCTGCTTCAGGCAGTCCTAACGGAGTCACTGCTGCAAGCTCGGGTCACCGAAAACGTGGGCCTTGAGGCACTGGGTTTGGGGAAGGTCGGGGCCGCAGGGCTGCGAGGTTACCTGAGTATTCCAGATATGGACACACTTGTCAAAGGAGCCACTGGCCAAGTATTTGCCATCAGGACTGAAGGCTACACTGTAGACAGGTTCCTGATGTTTGGTTAGTGTGTGGATACAAACGCCCCGCTCCACATCCCACAGTCGGACCGTAGAATCAAACGAAGCACTGGGAAGAGAGCACAGAAAGCACAAGCAGGTCAGCAGAGCGGCTTTGCACAGATCTCGACGACGCCTAACGGACTCTCAGAAGCCTTTACCTCCAGCCTCTGCCGTGAGTGAACAACCAACCAGAGCGCATTCTCTCTTCTGGACTGTAAACTCAAGACACTAGAGGGAGCTTTTCTTTGGCGCTGTTATAAGGGAAACAAATGGATACTCATTGACTTCCTGTTTCTCTTTTGCATTGCTCAGAGTCAAATCCAGCTCCTGGCCGAGTTGCCCAGGTTGGCCTCAAACTTGCAATCCTCCTGCCTCAGCCTCCCAAATTGCTGGGATTACACGCATACGTCACAACAGTGTTCTTCTAAGCATTAGGGCTGCGGGTGTAGTTCAGTGGCAGAGCACTTGGCGCGTGTGCAAAGGCCCTGGGTTCCATCCTCAGAACTACAAGCAAACAAACCAAGAGGGGACTGCCACATCCCTTGGGGTACAGTGTGCATCAGGATGCAGCAATTCTGTGGCCTGAAGCCCTGCCTTTTGGGAAGGCCACCTTTGTTCCTGATGACCACGCTTTCCCAGTTCTGGTGTCTTAGAAAATTCACTGTCAAATGTTGGGGCAGGCAGATCTGGCTGGAGCTGGGGAACCTCTGATCTCCACCCCAAATTCCTGCTGCTAGGAGCTCTGAGTGGGGTGCACCAAACCCAGGTCTAAGCTGAAGGCTTTCAGGTTTGTTATAGTAAAGAATTTGTGCTAAAGCCAAATTCCTGAGGCCTGACACAGACGAGATTCCTTCTACTAGACTCACAGCTAAAGCGATGGGGCCTCCTATGATTGAGCTAGCCCTTCACATCTGCAAGGGGGTGCAACGGCAGATTCCATCAACCACAGATCAAAAACAACTAGGAAAAGACTGCCGATACTGAATATGCCACGGTCCCTCAACAATGCCGTCTAACAGCGGCTCACGCATTTAGACAGCATCAGGTATCAAGTGAGCTATTCAGGATGTGAAGTTCTAGACAACGTGCACAGGTTATATGCCAACACATGAGGGACTGAGCACCACCACCTGTGACTTCAGTATCCACAGCTCATCCAGGAACCAACCCCTATGGATATCCAGAGACAACAGTATTATCTCGCTGGCATCTTCAAAATGCAGTAGCGTTCTGTCTAGCTGGATGGGCTTCAAAACACTGGGGACACACCAGCAAAATTCTCTTTTTTTTGCTCAAGAGTAAATTAAGCCGGGCGCAGCGGTGCATGTCTAATTCCAGCCACTTAGGAGGCCAAGGCAGGAGGATCACAAGTTCAAAGCCAGCCTCAGCAAAAGCAAGGTGCTAAGCAACTCAGCGAGACCCTCTCTCTATACAAAATAGGGCTGGGGATGGGGCTCAGTGGTTGAGTGTATCTGGGTTCAATCCCTGGTACCAAAAAAAAAAAATCGGATGAATTAAGGCTGCATTCCAGAGGGGAGACGGGAGCATGCGGGCTGGATCCCCTTACCTTGCTAACATGATGTTGGAGTTTGGGTTGCTGGTGGCTGGTCCCGTGGGACTCCACTTGATGGTGTAGATCTCTTTGCTGTGAGCCTGAAGATCATGGACACACGTGTCTTGCTTCATACTCCAGATCTGGAGAGGGTATGGCCAACGACATGAGCAACGCGTCCGCAACCTGGGGTGGGTCATCACCTCTCATCCTGGGGGTGCTCCTTTGGCTGCTGGCCCGCGGGATCCCAGCAGGGTGGGGGAGTTGACAAGGACTCAGACAGGTGAAGACCCTCAGCAGAGCACTTGGCTGATAAATGGGCATTCGCTGCCTTGGTGAGGGAGAAACTTACAGAGGAGGGGTCCCCACAAAAACAAACGGAGGAGCGGAATGCGAGACCCTGGGGAACATGGGGGCTGGTCCAGGATTGAACGGTCCATCCCGCGAGACGCTGGCCTCACCTTTAATGTCATGTCATCAGAGCAGGACGCTAGCAGCATTCCTGAAGGATCCCACTTGATGGCGTTGACCTCATTCTGCAAAGGGGGAAAGGATTTCAGGAAGAAATGGAAGCCTGTGTGTAGGAAGCAGTAAGGCGGCCCTCCACCAGAGGGCAGTGGTGCTCTGCCAGCCTTGCCCAGGCCTGGGGATTTACCCTGCAGGTCCCGTAGGTAAGAACCACACCCGTCAGCCTCCTCCCACGCGTATTTCCTTAACGAAAAAAATCTCTACTAGGAAGAAAGCCAAATGAAGAATTCACATATAACAAGGAGGGAAAATAAAACCAATAAAACCACAGCTAGTTCTGAAGCTGGACTTTGGATACCATTTTCCTGTGCGCTTTGAGTGTAAGTGCCGCTCCCTCTCATCTACATCCAAGATGGTCTCAGGCAGGCCCAGTGGTATGCACCAGCAATCCCAGGAGGCTGAGGAAGGCTGGCAGCAAGTAGGAGGACAGCCTTAGCAACTTAGTGAGACTCTTTCTCAAACCAAAAAAAAAAGGGGGGGGGGGCTACTGGGTAGAGCAGCCTGGGCTCAGAGTCCCCTGTACCTTACACACACACACACACACACACACACACACACACACACGATAGGTGGACAGGGAGGTCAAGACGGGACACAGGATTGCCCGGCTAGACAGCAATGCAACCCAAAGGCACAAATCCACACCCACAGGCCACACAGAAGTGTCAGGGAAACGGACCCACGCCGTCTTGGACAGGAAAACCCACGCAGGAGGAACAAAATCCTCCCCGGGGCAGTGTGGGCATCCGTCTCCGCTGCAGCTGTGGAGAGGAGCGAGCCCACGGGCAGATCTCTTAGGGCTGCTGAGCACCGACGTCCATCCCCAGCTGAACCCCCCCCCTTCAGTCCTCCAGGGAGAAATGGCTTCCTTCCCAGGAGTGGAACTTCCTCCCTCTGCCTCCCCAGTCACAATCCCTAGGAAGCGTCCAGAAGCAGCTCATTCACAGGTCTCGGGGAGGAGCAGGCTCCATCCGTCCCGTTCAGCCAGAGCTCGGCTTAGGAGGAGCAGCAGCAATCAAGACCCACTTCTAGAGCCAAGTGGGGGCAAAGGCAGGGCCGCTAGAAATCAGACCACGGGCAGCCCTGTAACAGCGGTGGACAGAACAGGGCCAGAGAACAGCTCCGACCAGAAAAACGCGGCACAGCCCCAGGGAGACCCGGGCAGGACTGCTGATGCCCAGGCTCGGGAAGCCCCTTCTGTGGGAGTCGCGGGGCCAGAAGCTGGGAGAGGTGGGTGCCCACCAGGGAAGTGAGCAAGGCTGGGGACGGTGGCACTCATGTCTCAAGTTACAGCAGCAGCATGATGGCTTTGACCTCCTCCTCTGCCCTCTGGGGATGCTCCAGCACTGAATGCCACTCTGGGCACGGGTGACAAAGACGGAGAAGCCTTGGCCTTGCCTCTGCACGTCCTGCAGGAGGTGGACACAGAAGCAAGCCAAGCCAGCCACCGAGGCCAGGAGCGAGGCTGTGCCCTGGGCACCACACCCAGCTAGCGCCATGACACTCCCAGTGGGGCCTGGGACTTCTGAGTGACGTCTTGGGAGATGGGAGGGGCTTGTGAGAGACAGAGGGTCACCGTGTGGTGCTCAGTCACAGGTTTCCCAGGAGGACCTGGGCACAGCTGCTTTGTGGACGTTCCTAGGCACCCCGAGGACAGACCCGGTAGAGCCCCCGAGGCCACGCTACATGATCTGACAAGTCAGCTGCTCATTATCAACAGCTGTTCTCTGATCTTTCCCACGATCTTTGGATGTCTTATGATTTCTCCATATCATGTATCATTAATGTGGCACCTGGGGAGCCCTAAGTCCAGGGGTGCAGGTGTGGGCCTCTTGATGCTGGTTCTGCTTGGGGTTTGCCAAACCTCGCGAGCATTGATGTTTTCCATCACAGCAAAACCCAGCGGCAGCAGCTTCAAGTTTCCTGTTGTCTTTTTTCTTTCCCCGATACACACAGATGTTCACAGGACTTGCGACTGCCCCACACATCAAGACTCAGTTCAGTTTTTCAAGGTTTTATCTATTCTTTGGCCAATTTCTGTGCGCTCCTTTCCGAGTCACTAACTTTACTTGTGCGATGTCCAATCTGCCATTCAACCCATCTACCAAGATTTCATTTCAAGACATTCATATTTCCTCAGTTCTCAACTTTGTTCATTCATTCACCTTTTTGCTTTACTGGGGACTCAACCCCTGAGCTACATTCCCAGCCCTTTTTAGATATTGAGACAGGATCTCGCTAAGTTGTTGAGGCTGGCCTCGAACTTGCAATCCTCCTCTTGCCTTAGCCTCCCAAGTTTCTGGGATGAGTCGTCTATCACTGTGCCTGGTTCTCATTTATTTTCTTAGTTTGTTCTAATTAGTTACACATGACAGTAGAATGCACGTTGACGCATGATGCACAAATGGAGTATAACTTCTCCTCCTCCTGGTTGTACCATGATGCGGAATCACTAGCCGCGCACTCATATGCTCACAGGATAACAACGTCTGATTCTATTATCCTTCCTACCCACACGCCCCTCCACTCTTCACTCCCCTTGGCCTAATCCAGAGAAACTATTCTTCGTACCCCTGCTCCCGCAAAAACCCGGTTCTCCATTCTCAGTGAACATTTTCTGTCTATTCATTTATCATGAGCATCTTTTTCTTTATGCCTTTACATACTCTCATATCGACTCAATGGCCTTCATTGCAAAATCTGACATGGGGTCACGTGAGTTTTCACCATTCCCTACCCACAACCGGGTGGGTTGCAGTGACCACAGCTCCGGCGCAAAGGGTTCTGGACCCACTGGTCTGCCGTGACATCGCCTCCTTCTAGGTGTGAGGCAAACGCTCCCACATTGCATCCTGGTGAGCTGGGCTGACCACGGGAACCCCCACTTACTGTGTGCCCTTGGAAGGTTTTGACTGGGCGGTCACAGCCGAGCCTGCACACATGGATGCACATGTCCGTGCTACAGGAGGCAAAGGTAGTGTTGTTCTGCCAGTCCACGTCCAGAGCGGGGGCTGCGGGAGGGAAGAGACGGATGCAGGTGTTAACTGCGCACGTGGCTAGGGCAGGTCGGAAGAGCCGAAAGCACAGCAGCAACTTCACAAAACCATTCCCAGTGTGAACACTATCTTTCCCGCAAGGACCTTAAAGTCGTTTCGCAATTTGCAGGGACAAGGTTCACTCTGGAAGAGTCCTAAGGCCCTGGCTGTGCCCGGGGCAGGCAGTGTCCCAGGCATGAGTGGAAGGGTACTCGCTATGGAAACGGCATCTCCTGTGCCTCCAACTTGCTGGGTTCCAGCAGGGTGACTGTGTGGGGCTACACTGATTTGTGTTCACACAGGGAGGAGATAAAGGACAGGAGAACGCCTTCCATCCTGTCCTTTGTTCAAAATGCTTCAGTTAGAAAAATGTGCAATCCACTGACCACGCCACTGATTGGTCATTTTTTTTGGGGGGGGGGGGGGGGGGGGGGGCAGGAGGGTACTGGGGATTGAACTCCAAGGCACTTTACTACTGAGCCACATCCTCAGCCCTTCTTAGCAAGACTGTCGCAGAATAAAAACTAAGTGGCTTAGGGGCTCATCACATTGCTGAGGCTGGCTGTGAGCTTGGGATCCTCCTGCCTCAGCCTCCCAAGTCACTGGGACTACAGGAGTGGACCACTGCACCTGCTTTGATTGGTGTTTAACTGGAGCCAACAGCGATCCCTTCGGACATGGATCAGGACTTGTGAAGGACACCCTTCTTCCCTCCTGGGTCCCTCTCACATGAAGATAGCTCCAATAGCAGCTCTGCTCTGCTCAGGGCTTTGAGGATGGCGACCGTCTTCATGGTACTTCCCCCTCGCCTCACCCGAGAGGCACAGGAGGACCAGGCAGGAACCAGGCTGCTGACATCACAGCCGGCAGGGTCTGAACCCATGTTCTGTCCCTGACTGCAACCGCCCAGGTCTCAGATGCAACTGTGCACATTAGTGTAGGGCCTCAGGTGAGCATGAACGAGGGGAGGCATCGAGTGACTGGCCAAGCTGGCGAGAGATGTGGATGGTATAGCATGGCAGTCACACCATCCTGTTTCCAGGGAAGTGTGGCTTCGACTCTTCCCTCAAGTCCTTGGAGAGGGGTCTGGGCATGGCTCTCTCCCCACCTCCCCTTGGGTACCCATGGCTCAAGTGGTCACTCCTCACTCCAGGTGGCTGCCGGCCTCCTATGTTCCTGCCTCCAGTGGAGGTACCAGCCCACCGGGGCATCTCCTAGAGTCCTTCACACACCACGAGAACAGGGATGGAGAAGTGGGGGCAAGATGGCCACAGGAGGAACAGCAAAGGACAAGGGTAGCTCCTCATGGGATCTTCTCTACTACTGAGGGGCCTTAGCAAGCGGGGTGTGGTGGTGCAAGCCTGTCATCCCAGCAGCTCGGGAGGCTGAGGCAGGAGGATCACGAGTCCAAAGGCAGCCTCAGTAACTTACCAAGGCTCTCAGCAATTAAGCGAGACCCTCTCTCTAAATACAAAAAGGGCTGGGGATGTGCCTCTATTCAGTCCCTGCCACCAAAAGAAAAAAAAAAAAAAGTCTTTGCCTTGACACTTTTTCCATTTCTCCTTTTTTTGGGTACACGGTGCTGGGGATGGAACCCAGGGACCTGCACAGGCTAGGCCATCACCTGCCACTCAGCCACATTCCCAGCCCTTTACATCACTTCCCTTTTTATTGTGAGACAGGGTCTTGCTAAGGGGCTGGGACTCCAGGCGTGGCCCACGGCACCTGGCTTTATTTTTTATTTTATTATAGCAGAGTTCTAGAGCTTCACTATATTGTATTTCCAGTGGAAACTATTTTTGGTGGAAAGAAAGGAAGGAATGAAGGAAGGTTTTTTTGTTTTTTGTGTTTTTTTTTAAAGGATTTCTGATTAGGTCAGCTTCATTTAGGGACCAACGTGTGGCTTTAGTGACACTTTGAAAGCTCGCTTACAGAATAGAAGCAATTGTAAGAAGAGATGAGCTTATTCCCGAGACAGATGCCGAAGGCGGCATCAGCAGACAGTCTCTACCGAGAACTTAGCCTGCTGGAGGCCGCCGAATAATGGCCACTTGGGTCACTATCTTCTTACTTCAAGCCAGGCAGTCCTGTCCTCCACCCCTGTGGGGGACCGCTCACCGCTAGGGGGAAGAAAGCCCACCTCCACTGGAGTGGTGTTGGCACAGAGGTGGGCAGGCAAGGACGTGGCAGGTGTGCTTGGTGGTCAGGAGGGCCAACCATGGAGCCACCAGGGGCCCCAGGATCCCCCCGCAGAGGGCGTGGGGCAGGGGCACTCTGCAAGGGCACCTAGAGCAGGCCCCGCCCACCTGCTTCCCTGAACACTTGGAAGTTACGTGCTACAAAGTAGAGGCCCCACCTGAAGCCGGGCATGTGAAGGAAACAAGAGGGGAGAGTCTGCTGGAAGCTGGGGGGCAGCAGTCACCAGCGGATCAAGGCGGAACCTCATCCTACGTGCATTGCTTGGGAGGAGAGTCCAGCCGCCTCTGGTGTGGACAGGCACGTTCCTGCTGTTGTTTACAACATCACGAATTCCTGGGGCAGCCTCTGCATCCCCCCCAGCAACAGGAACCAGCAAACCTACCTGAGTGGAAGGGGAACTGCTGCTTGGCTTCTCCTGTGTGGGCGTCCCAGATGATGGTTGTCTGTGCTCCGCAAACAAAGAAAAGAGTTAGTGACCCGTCTCCTTCCAACGCTTTCTCTAGGAAAAGGGATTGGGCGAGAAAGGATAGCCGGCTACGTTCCCTCTAAATCAGCAGTGTCCGATGGAGAAGGCAAGTCATAAGGTTCCAGTAACATTACAAAAAGAAATTAGTGAAATTTTAATAACACCATCCCTGTCACGCAATGTAGCCGAAATGTTTTAATATGTGATCAGGAAAAAAACCAAAACACTAGTGAGATACCTGGCATTGTGTTTTCCCATCCTAAGTCTGATACGATGGGTGTTTTACACTTGGCCACACGGAAGCAGCTCACCAGCTACAGGTGCTGTCTGGTGGTCACAGACTGCGGACCCACACTTGAGAAATCTACAACTGGTAAGGGATTCCCTTTCATCCCAAAGCTTAAAAAAAAACCACTAAAAAAGGCAGCAGCAAATCTTATCTAAATAATTGAGGTTCCAAGTGCTTCAAATAAGCGATGCTAAACCTGTACTAGATACAGCAGAATCCCTGGACTACTCTGGGGCTGGCACCAGGAAGGGGGAAAGGCGACCTTTATGTCAGGAGACCAAGGAAACCATGAATCCCACTAACTCATTAATGCCGGGAAGAAAGACATCTAGGGAGTGAGCCACGGGCAGGTCAGCCAGTCCCACTGGGGTTACGTTTTCATCAGCAGCAATTTTCAACTTAATTTTGAAACTTTATTTAAAGACTTAGCTTTAAGAAGTCGTTGTATCTTGTGTGCATTGTAAAGGGAAATCTCAGAACACTAAGTTTCTTTTTATTTTAATTGGTACCAGGGATTGAACCCAGAGATCTGAGCCACAATCCCCAGCCCTTTTTTTGTATTTTATGTAGAGACCGTGAGACCCTAAGTTGCTGAGGCTGGCTTTAAACTCACGATCCTCCTGAGCCCCTGGGATTATAGGTGTGTGCCAGCGTGCCCGGTAAAGGTAGCTTCTTTACAACTTGGTACTCCTTGGTTTGGGGTCAGCTTGACCAACTTCTGTGTGTGTGTGTACCTTTTTTTGTAGCGAGCAGTGAACCCAGGGGCACTTAACCACTGCACCATACACCCCCCCCCTTTTTTTTTTTTTTTTAAATTTTGAGGCAGGCTCATCTTGCCGGGTTGCTGAGGCTGGCTTCAAACTTAAAATCCTCCTGCCTTGGCATTACCAAGCCACTGGGATTATGAGAGTGTCCCACTGTGTTAATATTTGTGTATTTGTGTGTGTGTGTGTGTGTGTGTTGTGGTATAATTCCCCTTGATTTATTCATGTACAATCAAACCTGGCACTGCACCGAATATATAAACTCCTTCATCATTCTAGGATACAGTTTCACATAAGATATTAGTAATTGGATTGTTAATACTTATGTTTAATATATATTGGACAAAAGAAAACATCACCTACACAGGGATTTTTAATAAGAAAACCTTAAATTATATTTCAGAAATTTTGAAAAATCTAACTACTTTCTGTTAAGCACAAACTGAAGATTATTAATACCAGTAATACCACCCCCCTCAGTGGGTTTTATTGTCAAAAGCACTGATATCCTTACTCCTGCCATGGTTAACTAGGTCATCCTGACAGATTACGGACCCAAAGACTAAAATAATTCCAACTATGCATTTCCAGTGACTGTGTAGTTCATCACGAATATCCTGCTCTGTACAAGGGGGAGGACAGCACTAGTGTCTGCCTCCTATCTCGGGAGCCCTGGGTGGGCTAACACATGTAGTGTAACATGTCAGATAAATGGTTGTCATTTCCGTGAATTACTTTAATAATCCGGCCAGCGATTCCCAATGGAACCAAGCGTCTGTGTGCAAACCACTTGACCACTTCTAAGACGTGGTTGTGTACCAATAAAACTATTTATGGAACAGCCACAGGGCCTGATTGGGGTGTTGACTGCAGTTTGCCCGGCCCAGATACCATGTCTCTAAGAATGTGGTCATGTGTGGAGGTCGACTATTATATTGGCTACAGGTTCCTATGACGGCTTTGCAAGAATATGGATGGAAGATGGTGAGTCCTGCGTCTGGTATTTTATATGCAGTTTTAGAACTGGAATGAACACAAAGTAACATAGTAAAGCTTCCAAATTATCCTGCAGTCATTACAGAAATCCAAGCCTGTGGGAGACCAAATGGCTTACAGGATTCAGGAAAGGCCTCTACCCGTGTGTAAAACACCAGTGGATAGATTCCCCACCCACCCAACGCCTGTTTTTGGTATTTCTTTTCCAAAGCCCTGACTTACACAATTCCTGCTGGCTCTTAGATGCGACATCACTACCCACTCAAGGTTCTCGGAAGGCCATGACACCAGCCAGCCCTGTCACCTGACCATGGAGGACAATGGGCCCCAGGGAGGAGGAGATGGCCAGGTGCATCAGACTTTGGCAGCCAGGAAGCCTGTGTCTCTTATGCTCTTTCCCCCAGAGATGGCTCCTACAGGCACCTGGATCTAATGCCATCACCTCCCCGTCACAGTGCTGCCTCAGGGACACAGTACTGAATTCCAAACTGGCTCCAGGAGCCATGGGGAGTCCCCCACACGCTCCTGCTGGGTCTCGGGTTACCCTGTCGATCCCTGGACGGCCCAGAGGGGAAAACCTCTTACCCAAAGGCCCCGGAAGCAGATATGTTAGAAATTAACAGATCAAACCCACAGAAACAATCGGCACCTGTAAGTCCTTCAATAAGCCCAAGAACTCAAAAGCCACAAGATTAAAAGTAAGTGCGCATCTTTGCTGGGTGCGGTGGTACATGCCGATAATCCCAGTGGCTCAGGAGGCTGAGGCAGGAGGATCTCAAGTTCAAACCAGCCTCAGCAAAAGTGAGGTGCTGAGCAACTCAGTGGGACCCTGTCTCTAAACACAAAATAGGGCTGAAGATGGGGCTCGGTGGTCAAGTACTCAAGTTCAACTCCTGGTACCAAAAAAAGCAAGTCTATTTCCACGTGGAAGGGATGAAGGGCTTGGGGTTGGTACTCACTTTGTCCACACCAGCACTCAGAATATAGTTCCCCTTTTTGTTCCACTTCAAGGCAAAGATGGGGCCTTTGTGCTGCCCTAAGGTGCTGGCCAGGTTACCTGTGGGGTAGGAAAGACGAACACGATGACATAAAGTCTCCGTGGTCACACCGGGAAGCACCTTCCACTGGCCCTGGCGCGAGGGACGCGGGACTCACCATCTTCCGTCCATATTCTTGCAAAGCCGTCATAGGAACCTGTAGCCAATAGTGTCCCATCGCTCTGGGGGCAGAAAGACAGATCCACAAGAACACTTGGCATCTCCCCAGGGGACGTCCCCAGGCCCCTAGGCCTGCCTTCCCACCACAGGGCTCCTGAGCAGTGCCACCTGTGAACACACGCTCGACGGGAGAGGAGGCTCCTGGCCCACCCAGCTCGCTGCTGGCCCAACGCAGCCTCTTCACCAGCTCTGGGAAGGGAGGACCCTAGGCCAGCACCCAGGGGACCCCCAAGAGACTGCCCGCCTGTGTGCACAGGCTGCCCTGCGGCTGGCGAGTGACGCTTACGTTCCAGTCCAGCGAGGTCACATCCTTGTTGCTTGGGACGTCGTGTCCCCCTTCCCGAATACAGTGCCTCAGCACCAACTGTGTGGAGCCCCCGTTGCTGTTCTCATTAAGGTTCCATATCCTGGCGGTCGAGTCTCCGGATCTGCAGGAAAAAACGACAATGAAAACACAGGAGTGTTGGGCCTGTGGCTGGCTGGACGGGAGGGAGGCTCACGGGCCTGAGGTTGGATGGGAGGGAGGCTCACAGGCCTGTGGCTGGCTGGACAGGAGGGAGGCTCACGGGCCTGTGGCTGGCTGGACGGGGAGGGAGGCTCACAGGCCCGAGGTTGGACGGGAGGGAGGCTCACGGGCCTGAGGCTGGCTGGATGGGGAGGGAGGCTCACAGGCCTGAGGTTGGACGGGAGGGAGGCTCACAGGCCTGAGGTTGGACGGGAGGGAGGCTCACGGGCCTGTGGCTGGACGGGAGGGAGGGAGGCTCACGGGCCTGTGGCTGGCTGGACGGGAGGGAGGCTCACGGGCCTGTGGCTGGCTGGACGGGAGGGAGGCTCACGGGCCTGAGGCTGGCTGGACGGGAGGGAGGCTCACGGGCCTGAGGCTGGCTGGATGGGGAGGGAGGCTCACGGGCCTGAGGCTGGCTGGATGGGGAGGGAGGCTCACGGGCCTGAGGCTGGACGGACAGGAGGGAGGCTCACGGGCCTGAGGCTGGACGGACGGGAGGGAGGCTCACGGGCCTGTGGCTGGCTGGACGGGAGGGAGGCTCACGGACCTGAGGTTGGACGGGAGGGAGGCTCACGGGCCTGTGGCTGGCTGGACAGGAGGGAGGCTCACGGGCCTGTGGCTGGCTGGACGGGGAGGGAGGCTCACAGGCCTGAGGTTGGACGGGAGGGAGGCTCACGGGCCTGAGGCTGGCTGGATGGGGAGGGAGGCTCACAGGCCTGAGGTTGGACGGGAGGGAGGCTCACAGGCCTGAGGCTGGCTGGATGGGGAGGGAGGCTCACAGGCCTGAGGTTGGACGGGAGGGAGGCTCACAGGCCTGAGGTTGGATGGGAGGGAGGCTCATGGGCCTGTGGCTGGCTGGGAGGGAGGGAGGCTCACGGGCCTGTGGCTGGCTGGACTGGAGGGAGGCTCACGGGCCTGAGGCTGGCTGGATGGGGAGGGAGGCTCACGGGCCTGAGGCTGGACGGGGAGGGAGGCTCACGGGCCTGTGGCTGGCTGGGAGGGAGGGAGGCTCACGGGCCTGAGGCTGGCTGGACGGGAGGGAGGCTCACGGGCCTGAGGCTGGCTGGATGGGGAGGGAGGCTCACGGGCCTGAGGCTGGACGGGGAGGGAGGCTCACGGGCCTGAGGCTGGACGGGGAGGGAGGCTCACGGGCCTGTGGCTGGCTGGACGGGAGGGAGGCTCACGGGCCTGTGGCTGGCTGGATGGGGAGGGAGGGAGGCTCACGGGCCTGAGGTTGGACGGACAGGAGGGAGGCTCACGGGCCTGTGGCTGGACGGGGAGGGAGGCTCACAGGCCTGTGGCTGGACGGGGAGGGAGGCTCACAGGCCTGTGGCTGGACGGGGAGGGAGGCTCACGGGTCTGTGGCTGGCTGGACGGGGAGGGAGGCTCAGGGGCCTGTGGCTGGCTGGACGGGAGGGAGGCTCACGGGACCCACTCTCTGGCCGGGTCAGCCACACATGGCAGGTGGTCTTCTGCGTGCAGTTCTTCATAGCCCTCTCAGCTTCCCTCCTCACCATCTTTGCATGGACTGGTTTTAGATGTCTTTGTAGGGCTTCCCACCCCACAGGTAAAAAGGGTCTGGGGTGATGGCTATTCCACAGAGCAAGACCCACACAGAGGCGGGGCCCAGAGAGGCCCACAGCAGGAAGATGTTACAACCCTAAGGCAGGACCGTGGAGATGAGCAGTGACCTGGGACCTCTGTGCCGGAGCACCCCCATCCTGAAAGCCTTACCCAGAAGCTAGGAGGTCGCTGACAGGATTCCAGGCGCAAATGAACACCTCGGACTCATGGCCCCTAAGGACTGTGGCTTTGTTGGGTGGAATTTCAACATCCCCATCTATTTCCATTGGTTTCGAATGGTTATCTGCCAAGAAGCACATAAAGACACGTGGCTTAGCAAGATACAGAAGAGGTGTGTTCTCAGATACTTTTGTCTCAGAAACACTTTGCTTTTACATATTAAGGCAGTACCAATCTGAGGATCATCACTAATTTGTGGCTTTTACACGATTTAAAAAGTATTTCACGTTTCTTTCTAGTTTGATGGTGCTGTGGTTCACGTGCTAGAAGTTTAGTGCCCAGGCGGGGAGATGAGCAATGGAGAAACCTTTAAGAGAGCACCTCTGTCTGGCCATGCGATCTCTTCCTCTAACATGTGCACCCCACCATACCATCCACCGTGATGTGTCGGCACCATGTTGTTTGGACAGTTAGCTTCTAATACTGTGAGCTAAATACATGTCTTTTCTTCAATAAAGCATTCAGCCTCAGGTATTTTGTTATAACAACAGAAAACATTCTTCAAATTTGAACAAAGGATAAAGACAGCTATTTATAACTGAAGCCCGCCAACCATGGCCTATGGGCCAAATCTAACCCACTGCCACCAATTTTTATAAACAAAGTGCGACTGGAACAGTCACAATTCTGTTTGTGCACCGCCTGTGGCTACCCTTTCAAGCTGAATTACTTCCCCTAAGAATTTACATGTTTAAGCCCTAACCTACAATACTTTATGAGGAGATTATATTTATACATAGGGACTTCAAAAAGATGGTTACAAGACAGCAACAGAGTAGTGTGAGCATCAACCAACCAGCAATAGTCAACAGCTGGCTGTACAATGGGGTCAAGAACGGAGCACCTTTTTGTGAAGGTATTTGGAAAACCCCAGAAATAAGAGGATTCCTTTCCTCTTCAGTGTTAGGTTAACCTAAGAGTGTACTGCTTCTATTTCAACATGTAAAAGTAAGAGAATGCCCGGCCGTCCTGCGCAGACCGAGACCCCTCATACAAAGTTCTCACGTCCTGCTGGAGGAACACCAGGGCGGTTAGGCACCGACACTTCTTTTATGCTTCAGCAGACGAGGAAAACGTTTTCCACCTTTGGAGAGCATTTTCCCACTCCCCACTCCTGATGGCAACAGGAGCGCTGGCACCCTCGGTAGCCATGCAGGGCGCGGGCAACGTGAAGCTCCCGGGAGGTGCGGAAGCCCGGCTTTGCACTTGGGAAAGTCCCCACCTCAACAGCCTGGTCTGGGGATTGTGTGTGAGGTGCGGGGCCTGAGAAGTGGACCGAGGTGGTGATACTGTGGAATTCCAATCTGCACAATGACCCAGACCCAGAGCGGCCAGCCAGGGTGACTGTGTGCAGACCTGGCCTATACAGAGCACAGAGTGCCTGCTCCTGGGCCCACGGTGGGCAGCCAGCCTCCAGAGGTGCAGGCCAGGGTGGCGGACCAACCAGCAAGGAGCACACCTTGGGGCAGGTGGTCAGCAGAGCGTCTTCTAGCTAGACACTGTCTCAACACACCAGGCTCTCACCCTGGGTCCCTGGACAGGGGCCTCCCTCCTCTCTGGCCTAGTTTTAAATAACTTCAACGTAGGAGTTAGTCATCTTGATGGTGAAAATAAACCAGGCTAATGCTGCTGCTAGAAGTCCCCGAAAGGCCCATTTTTGCTGAAGGCTTGTGGTACTATCGGGAGGTGGAGGAGTCTTTCAGAGGATGGGACTTGTGGTACCAAAGTTAGGTCACTGGAGATGTCACCCTGAAAGAAATGGCGGGCCTCCCCTCTGTCCATGTCCCTCTGCCTCCTGGCTGGTGATATAAGTGGTTTGCTTTGCCACATGCTCCTCCCCTGGCCAGAGGCCTAAAGCAACGGAGTTGCCTGATCTTGAACTGGAATCACCAGCACTGTGAGCCAAAATAAACCCTTCCACTTTATGAGCTGCTCACCACAGGTATTTCATTATAGTAACAGAGCCCTGCCAGAGAACCATATCAGAAAGTGGCTGTTTCTCTCTCAAATTGCAGGACAGAGAATATTGTGGGTCAGAGTTAAGTCTAACTTCAGATCTGCCCGCAGTGTCCACTGCAGTGGTAGAGTGGAGAGGCTGCCTTACTGCGAGACAAGAGCTGGCTGTGGATGCCAGGGTGGGCATGGGACTCGGGGGACAGAAAGACATATCCATGCCTTCCAGGCTTGGGAATAACATGGATACCACTTTATAGTTTCTAAAGATTTAAAAGAAATGGGTGCAGTTTAAACACTTGCAAAATTTCTTCCTTGGGAAACAATGATTTCTCAAAGTTTACTAATTATAAATGCTTTTTGGTGACATAAGATGACAAAAACAACTACATCTATTGTGTCTGCTTCTGAAAACTTGAGGGTCCTACCCCACTTCAGTGAACAGTGACTCTTCTGTACAAGCCAGATATTTTGTCTTTCGTCTCTATTCCACAATTTTGGGCCTTATGAATAGTGATCCTGTAGGATGCGACTGGGGGTCTTTATCTTGTGTTGGGTGATGGCCTTTGTGCCACCTGACTGTAACCTGTGGATGGTAAATAGCCACAGAGCATGGCCATGGGTTGAGGCCTCAGAGGCCATTAGGCAGCTCTCTGCAAGAGGGGAAGCCGCGGCAATGGGACTATGGGGTCAGATGCCAGTGTCACATTTTCCTTCACCCTCCAGCTGCATGAAGGAAACCATTTTCTAACTAAGGAAGCACACACGCACTACATACATACACATGCACACACTCAGCCACACCACATATACACACAAACATGCACATGCATGTGAACTCGGACCCCCCAAGCAGAACCTCTGGAGTTCATAAGGATCTCTGGTTTATCTGCTCAACATTCCTGAGCAAATGCCTAACAGGGACTAACCTCCAGGGGCAGACCAAATAAGATGGCTCCCCATGCCTGGGCGGGGTGCCCGAGAAGTCACGGTGAGCTCAACTCTTATCCCACCGTTTGGCCTAAAGCCTGCACAGTGCGAGGCTGGAGGCTGGACCAAAGGCCTCTGGGAACAGCACCTTTGCTCTTGTTGGACAGGACTCATACTGGACGTGGCCTGGATGGGCTTGGGTTCTCAGAAGAGCAAGATCCCCTACAACCAAGGATCCTGCAGCCAAGATGAATTTGGATGGGAAAGGCGGCCGGCCGTTTGCAAAGCCCTGCGAGGCGGTCCTGGTGCAGGAGCGCCATGTGCCGGGAGCCCCGACGCCCCACACTTACTTATTGCGTGCGCGCCGTTCTCCTCCCCGTTCACCGTGGCCTCTCCATTCTTTGGTGGGTTTTGCTGGGAAACGGGGGCTGGGGTGGCTGCGGTGGTGGTGGCGGTGGCCGTGGCCGTGGCGGCGGCTGCAGCGGCGGCGTTGGCCTGCTGCTGCTGCGCGAGCTTCTCCCTGAACGCCTGCTGCCGCGTCTGCACCACGTCGGGCATCACGGCGTCGATCAGGGACAGGGACTCTATGGGGCGGCCGTCGAACACCGTGCCATCCTGCGGAAGCAAGCTGGTCAGCTCCCGCGCAGGGGGACGCCCCGTCCGGGGTGCAGTGGGCACCCACGGGGGCAGGCTGCAGGGACTCCGTGCAGGGGCGGCCGGTCCTGGAGACCCAGCTGCAGTGCTCATCCTGAGTGGCAGCTCTGACATCCGGTAAGCAGCGAGCCACATCTGGGCATTAAGGACACCTGCCCTGAACCACTTCATCCCGTGACAGTCTGCATCCTGGGGGACATTTCTCCACGTCTGGAGCCACCGGGTGAAGGGAGGTGGCGGGGTGGAGAGGTGCTGCACTGCCCTCGGGTGGGTGGAGGCCAGGAATGCAGCCCCACGTCCTCTAGCACACAGGGGGTTTTCCCAAGAGACCCCTGCCCCCAGCGCAGAATCTTGAGGCTGGGAATCCACCCCCGTGCTAAGGGCTGCTGGAAAGTGTGTGAATAACCAGCCACTTACGTGGGAGGGGGAACTCTTTGGTAGCATTAAGCACAATTTAGAAATGACTAGCCATTCAGCATTTGATTACCGGTGCGTTTGTCCACTTGATTTAATAAAATAAGCACTTGGGGCTATTTGGGATGACTTCCTGGGTTCAAAGGACGGCCACGATGAAGCCATGATGTAACCCACAACAAAAATTGCTTGGTTCTGAGTCACATTTTTATCGATCGCTGTTTGATTCTCTGGTTTGTATCAACCGTGAAAAATTTCTAAACACACTTCAAAATACGGGAGGAAGTTCGTTCAGATATTTGAGTTGCATGAAATGCAACAAGCCTCCACGCTGTGTGTGCTGAGTGCTGAACTTGAATTACCTCCGAAATGAGGAGGAATTGAGGCACTTCAGCCCACCCGATTTCTGATGACGATGCACTGTTTGAAATCACAGAAACTATAGGAAACGATATACACCGCCTCCCCAGCCCCCTGCCCACTGGACTGTAGCCGTGGAAGCACTGGCCGAGGCTGAGCAGTCCTGATGCTCCCAGGTGACCTTCCTCCTTCATGCAGTCCCACCCCAAACAGCTGGCCAAGGTGCCAGACGATATCTGCCCGCGGTAATGAAAACACCTCCTCACCTACATTCTAGAGCACACGGTCGCATTTTCTTAAATGACTGGAAACTTCTGCCAAGTGAGATCTTTCATCGACCTCTAGACACCCTGGCGTTTGGGTGGCTGAAGCATCATGGAGGGATTTTGGCCTTGAGAGCCACAGGAAACGGGCAGGCAGAGGAAAATCAGATCACTACACCCACCCCCCAATCTGAGAGCTTGTGGGGGACCAGGGGTCATGTGCTCATCTCCCCACGATTGCTGGTTCTACAGACACAGACCAGGCGGGGCCTGAAAGAGTCAGGCAGACCACTCGCACAGAGGGACAGTGAAGGCTGCAGAAGCCCAGGGAAGCCCGGACTCCGTCCTGCACCCTGCTCATGCGCATCTAGACGCAGGGCTCTGCGGGCTAGCGGTGGGGCAGGCCCCGGGGTGTGCCTACCTCGTTGATGCTGATCTCGGCCTCCACATACTGCAGTCCCTTCTGCAGGATGGAGATGAGGGCAGCCGGCGGCACTAGTGTCCCGTTGATGTTGGACTGGCTGATGTGGCTCTCGATCCCAAACGTGAAGGCCGAGTGGGAGAAACCTGCCGGAGGAGGAAGCCAAGCGGATGGAGGTGAGAGAACATGAGGCCAAGGTCACCCCGTGTGGGTGCGAGGTGGGAAATGCCCACAACAGAACAGCCTTCCCAGCCCACAGATGTGCCTTGACTAACGTGGGGTGACGCCTCGATAAACCCGCGGGAAGCTGGAAATGCAGAGCAGCCCAGACCCGCCGGCACCACAGCTTCGCCCGGCCAACCGTAGGGGCGTTCAGAACCTTCATCACCTGGCATCTGGGCAGAAACCATTAAGACAAAGCCTGCTCTACAACCAAGCGCTGAAGCCTCCCCCGGACCTGCACAGATGGTGCTGCAGTTTAGGCTGGGTGTCTTCCAAGGCCCCTGTGTTGAAGGCTTCATCCCAGCCCAGAGTGCTAACAGGTGGTAGTGGAACCTTTAATAGGTAAGGCCTACTGGGAGGAAGTTGGCTTGCTGGGGGTGAGGCCTCGGAGGGGATATTGGGACCCCAGCCCTCTCCTGTCCGTCTCCTGGCTGCGGTGAGGTGAGTGGTTCCTTCCTCCTTATGCTCCCACCATAGGTCCAGAGGCAACAGGGCCAAGCAACCATGGACCAGAAGTCTGAAACCGTGAGTCAAAGCAAACCTTTCCTCCATATAAGCCAATTTATCTCAGGCATTTTGTCACAGTAATGGGAAGCTCACACTGATGGGCATCTTGTACATTATGGGATCTAAAGACACAAAACACAGTATCCAAAAAGTGCTGACAATATAGCATACTGTACGGAAGGGGCTTCCATCTCATGACCACATGGGTGACTGGGAGCTACAGCTCCTTCTATACCTTGCTTGGGAAAAGAGCCAAATTCAAAATTTGAAGTAAGGTTTCCACTGAATTCCTATTGCCTGTGCACCACCGTGAAGCTGAAAAACTAAGCTGAAACATCTGTAAGTTGCCACCGACTATATCAAGAAGCAGAACACAGCACGGTGTGCCTCAGTGCCCTGGCTGGATGTGTCTGTTATAGAAATTCAACCTCAGGCTTCCACCGACTCCTGGTTTGAATTGCTCTTTGCCGTAGCTCGGTGCTGGTCTGTGCCCCAGCTGCAGTGCACATGAGGAGCTGTCCCTCAGCCCAAGAAGAGGGCAGCCGGTGCCTGGCTCAGAACGCTCACAGGCAGGTGGGGACCGACAACCACACACCAAACACCCCAGGGAAAGAGGCTGCTCAGGCCAGCGGGTGTGGCATCGAGCAATTCTCCGGAAGCTGGGGATTCTCCCTTTTCTATTTTTGCTTTGTTGACGCATTATAATTATGCCTAACCTGGGATCCGTCCATGTGCTTAACGGTTTGATCCGTCTCATTCCCCAGCACCTCAAACATGCCAGGCACGTGCTCTACCGCCGAGCTACACCAGCCCTTTCCCGATTTCTTCTCCTTGTCTCCAAACGCCAGCTGCTAATAAGCAAAATGCTTGAAAAATTCCAGACGTTTTCAGATAAGCTTTGGATGATGGTACTTGAAAGATGGATGTTAGAAAACACAAAGAAAACGGCTCTGCAGCGGAGGGCATGCGAGACTGGGGGACTGAGGATCAGGGACCTTCCACAGCCCTTTCTCGGGGACAGAGGGGTAGCACTGTACTGACAGATGCCTGTGGCAGGTGTTCTCACTCCTGCTTTCTTTGTAAAGTGACCTCTGTGGTTAGGAGCAAGCACTCCGAATTCCCCCGTTAGGAAGTTCTGCTCACTATGACAGCATCACTGGCCTGCAGGCCACAGACCTCCCTATGCCAGAGGAGGGGCCTCTCAGCCTTGCTTGGCCCTGGCCTCTTTCAGCCAGCCAGACGGGGTCAGCCATGGACCCTGTGGCCCTCTGCCTAGGCCCCTCTGCCTCGCCGACTCCACACAGAGGCTGCCGTTGCAATAACCCATCTGCCCACTAGGGGGGAATGTTCCTCCACGACGGAGACTGCGGTGTGTTCTCCTCCTTCCCTCTTTCCCACTCTCGCCTCAACCCACATCGCCTGGTTACACACAGAATCCGGAGCTTATGTTTATCTAATAAAGTAATATGGTGGTTGCTATTCATTTTAAAATCAGTCGCACAGAATCTTGCATCTCTCTTTACAACACCACCACTACCTAATTAGGTTGCTGTTCAGAATCCCTCTCCACTGCTCTGTTTAGATAGAGGCTGGGCCTCTAGGAGGCAGTAAGAACTAGATGAGGCCAGGAGTGGAGCCTGCAAGACTGAGTCCCGGTGGTTTACAAGAAGAGAAAGAATCCAAAGACAAGGGTGTGCTGCCCGTCTCCTGTGGCGAGGTGAGTGCGCCCCTCCTCCCTATGCTCCCACCATAGGTCCACGTCTCCTGCCTCCTGCCATGTGATGCTCTGCACCAACGAGGCCATTGACTGAAGGAGCCCCTCAACCTTGGACCACCACACCACAGTTAAAACGAAACTCTCAGGCTCAGAGGCAAAGCACTGGCCCAGCTTGCATAAGGCTCTGGGTTCCATCCCCCAGCACTGCTAAACATAAATATTGCTTTCTTCTTTATAAAGTAACCTCCCTCAGGTATTTCATTATAGCAAAACAGACTAGTACATTGGAGGACAAAACCGAAGTCCCTTTATGGTTGACTGACTTGACTCTCTCTCCACCTTCATTTCCTATGACCTCCCTACCCCAGCCCCAGGCCTTGCACAACCAATGACTGTATTATCCCAAGTTTTGGTCATTCAGGTTTCTGGAGAGGTGGAGACTACAAAAACTCCAATGGACAGAGGGAGCGGGGCCACAGTAGATTCTCGGCTTGACGCCCTGCTGCCTGTTCAGGTCGAGGTGGCTGCTCTCTCCTAAGACTTCGTGATTCTCGTGGTTCACAGGAGCCATCGCCCTGGCCGTCTTCCCTTCTGTGTCCCGACTAGCTGACGCGACTGAGCATTGCAGGTCACGGGCCATTTCTCATCCTCCTGGTTTCACAAAAAGGCCCAGGGAAGGACTGGGCACGCACTGGCCCCTGACAGGGCTGGTCTCGTACTGACCCTGCTGCAAAAACCTACAGGAATCCAGGGGGGCCTCCTGCAGCCACTCTCTGCTCTACTTACCTGTGTACACATCAGGTTCCCCAGAGCTTTTGAGGGATCTGATCCATAAGCAATGGAACGAACATTGGAGGGACAAACCCACGTCACTCAGCTTGTAGGGGTGGGGTCACAAGACAACACTCAGCCACCACAGACCAGCATGATCTGCGGCCTGCACCCGAAACCAGCATTAACTGCTATTTAGCGGGTGCCAAGGGGCTGGGTGAGGCCATCTTGGAAGACATGGCACCTCCAGATGCGTCTCTTCCAGGGCCAGCCCGTCCTCCACCACCAGCACCCCACCCTCCCCCAAATGGACTCCAAGGCTAATTAACACGTTCAGTGTGCCCTAGTGGGGACCTCTCCATCTGCACCCGTTAGCTCTCCCTCAGTGTTCGACACAGCTCTGCCGTCCAGTGAGTCATACAGAGTCCAAGATCAGAATGCAAGTGACAGACTGCACCCTAGCGTGGGCCATGGTGGAAGGTACCAAAGTAGTCACAAGGGAGGAGAACGAGGGCTTGGCAGCGTCATGATGGAAGGTTGTGTGAGGGCCATGGGTTGGTGACCTTGGTGCCAACCTCTAGGCCAGCCTGAAGCCAGCAGGCTCGCCACTTACAAGAGTGTCCCAGTGAGCCCACTCAGGGGTTCCCGACACACCTTGGCTGACATTGTTGGCCGTAGCGGAGGCTGCGTTCTGTGCACTGACGGGTGCCAAGCAGCACTACCCTTGAGCTCTCCCCTCTAGATGCCAGTAGCATCCCTCCTCCCAGCCTGCCAATCAAACATGTCTCCAGATGTGTCCAATCGACCCCACCCTGGTTGAGAACCAGTGAGCTGGTTTTGATGCCCTCAAAAGGGGATGCCTCACTACCAGCAGCTCTACTCAACCCCCCATTCCTGCTCGATTCTGGATTGCTGCCAGGGAACACCAAGCCACCACCTATGTGGCCATTCCCCAGAGACTCCAGATAACTCACAGTACTGCTAGAGAACAGCTGGGTGAGCAAAAATATCGCCAGGCAGAAAGCCGAGGTACAACTGAGATGATCCAAGAAAGGCCTAAAACAAGGGCCACATTTTAAAAAGAATGGCCAAGCCCTGTCTGTCTGGAACAAAAGGTCCTCCAGCCTCACAAGAGACGACGACTGCTATGTGAATCTGTCTCACCTACCTGGGCAAGAAGAATAGACTTAAAATACACCAAGAGCTTGTTTTGTTTCTTGTGATCGCCACACTGCTACAACACAGCCACGTCCACAACAAATGGCTTCCCAAACTGCTGGGAGTTAACACAGTGCACCATTACGCCCAAGCAATGCTGGCCCTTGGAAATAGCGCTTATTCAGCAGAACAGACGCTTAATACTCAGGCAGCCGTGGGGGTGGGCTTTGCATCTCTCGCCCTAATCAACACCGAGGGCACCCATGTGCGGCATTAAGAGCCGAGTTCTCATTAAGCAGTTAGCAGACTTACATACTTAGAATACTCAGACTCAAAGCCAATGGGCACAGGAGGTTTATTTCTAAACAGTCCGGGTGAAGGGTTGGCAAACTGAGGCCCATAGGGAGTCTGGCCCACTACCTGTGTTTTTAAATAAAGCTTTACTGGAACAAAGCCTCGTTCATGAGTTGCTAAATTGCCTATGGCTGATTTGAACCTTCCCTGGCAGAGTGCTAAAGAGTTGCGACAGACACCTCGCAGTCCACAAAGCTCAAGGGAAGCTGCTGGCCATCCTACCGCGCACACAGCAGCCTCCACCCCATGACCAAGAAGGATCTGGCCCCAAGTCTGAATAGTGCCAAGGTGGAGAAACCCCGTTTTCAGATCCCTCTTCCCCCCTGCCTAGTGTCCCTTCCTGATGGCAGCCTCTCTTGCCCTTCAACAGGAGTGGTCGCTGTCTTGTCCGAGCCCCATCAGCATGACTCCCTAGCC